AGCGCGAGCGCGAGCGCGAGCGCGAGAGCAGCGAGGGTGAGGGCGAGGGCGAGGGCGAGAGGGCCCCAGGCCGAGGTCGGCCTGGTTGTTCGCAGCCGCTTCGAGGGCAGACGCCGAGCCTGGCGTTGGCAGAACTTTCCCATCGCCTTATGATCTCAAATCACCTTCTCACTTCTCAGCCCTACCTCCGGATGTCGGTATGCAGTGGTAGAAGCAGAAGCGATTCGCGGACAGCGTGGCCGCACCTAAGAAGCTGTCTTCTACCATGGGGTGCGCACCGAACATGGAGCTTGCACTCTCAGACTGTAGAAGCAAGCCACGAGGAAAGATGGGGTCGTTCATCACCGTGCAGGTGTTCGAGCATTGGTAGGCGGCAAAGTTGTGATCGCTCTGCGGCGTTAGGGAGCACCTGTGAAGGGCCGAGGGCTCTCGCAGCTGCAAAGTGACATCTCGCCAAAACGGCAAGCATTGATGCGGATGCGGTATGCCGAGCCAATCGGCAAGAGAATCTGCCAAGGCACTTAAAGACAGACTTGCTGGGGTCGCTGATCTCGCTGGGTCTCCTGGCACGGGTCGACGGCTCTGCTGTAAGAAACGCCCGCACGTCGCGATACGATCCTGGCCTGCGCTCTCGAATGCAGCAGTTGCAAGTACATTCCTTCGCATTGAGGACCTGAGCCGAGAGACAAGCACTCTCGAAGCGGCGAAGCGGGAACCAAGCCCTGTCATTTTCTCACGGGGTGCTATTCTTGCAGACCAGCAGAGAAGGTATGAAGGAAGGCAAGCCGGGGCCCGTGCCTTGTTGTACTTGGAGAAGAAGCCCTTCACACGCGCGTGGGCAATCTCTGGGGCCAGAACGGCCAAGCAGACCTCAGAAGCAACGGCAAGTAAGCGAGAGAGGCTGAGATCAAGAAGGTCCATCAGACTGCAGGACAACGCATGCAGTTACCTTCAACATCAACTCGTCAAACTGAGTGGCTACAAGCAGATGCCTCATCCGAATCATTGCCTGGCACGGACTCATGTGCCTTGATTGCGTCCAGAGAGTCTACCTTTACATGCATGTGGTTATGACTCATGACCAGCCCACGCAGGCCTGCCAAAGAAGCCGGCAGGACTCTTTAAGCTAAGTTCGCTATCCGACAAAGCTGGGGGATCTACCAGCTTGGGCCAGATGTAGCAAACCACGTCTGAGCAACAGTGACAGTCATGCATGCTCAAGTCCACTCTCGGGCGCAGCAAGTCGCAGGCTTTCGCTCCACTCCGGGCATGAGCCGCACAGCTTTGCACAGGTGCGAAGCAAAATTATTCATGGAGCCAAACCTGAGTGGACAATCTGAAGAGTGCCTTGAAAGGTGATTCGCTGCACTGGCTGAGCGTGCCACGGTCAAAGCCCATCTGTCGCGTCTTGTAGCGACCACCTGCTCTGTGTTGGGAGCAGCATATATACTACACCTGCTCGAACATCAAATGCCACCTCGTGCTCGATCTTGTGGGAGTCGAAAAGCACCAATCGCCTCTGCCACGCGAGGTTGATCAGACATGGAACAGACCTACATGGTGCAGCCCCAAAAGACTACCGGGGGCAGTGCCCTCCCTTCGGCAAAATCTCCGCCACGCCGTCAGCGGTCGGTGGTTGTGGGCCCCGGAGTGCAGCCACCGTCGCACGGCAGCGCAGGGCTCCACCGGCCACGCTGGGCCAGTCCTTGCAGGGTCGAAGAGGGTACATTCCTTGCAAAGGGCTCAAGGAGTGGCGCCTCTTCATTCAAGTACAGGATTGCAGTGATAGACCTTCGCCTGGCAGTGATGCGAGATGGACTCATGAGACTGACCTGGCCCTGCACCATGTGGCTCTGTGGGGCTAGTAGCGACGATGGTGACACCGGCACGCAGCAAGCAGTGGGGATGTCCGAACATCCAAGGGCACATGTTGCGTTGAGCATTGACTGCCGGGAGGCCTTTGAGAAGATTTCAGAATACCAAATCAAAACTGAACGAGGGCATTGAAAGTGCCATAAAGGCACAACTTACAATGATTCTGTTATGATATTGAGCATCAACCCGACAAGTGCTGGCAAACATGGCAAGGAGATGCAGCGTCTTTCAAAGCTGCAGTACTTCGTAAAGAAAAGCCCGCACCACAACCATATGCTCGCACCCAAAAGATGCAGTCGAGGTTTCCAGGCAACCGGAATTCCAATGGTTAGGAAATCCTAGATGGTCGAAACTGAACAGCGACTACTGGGAGAAATGCCGACGCTGTGCATATTTTGTCGGAACAAATAGACCAAGGCCATTTGCGTCCAAATTTAGCAAAAACCTTGATCAGACCTACCTCAATGCCAAACTCTGAATGCTACATGGAGTCAGGGAATGTTCGAAGTCCATCCAACTCAGGAAGATGGATGCTGTGCGGGCCTACTGAAGAAAAGACACACCTCAAACAACCAGCATTCAAACTATGGACAGCCACTGAACAGAAAGACTAGCAAGCCCTGAACCACAAGGAGGTGAAGGGTAGAAGACCCCAAAGCAGCGTGCAACCATCACCATCTTCATTTTCGCCTAGCCGGCATGTGGTCGCCATCATGGTCCGAAAGAGCAAGAAGTGACAAGACCAGTGATGGCCCAACAGAAGGACGGAAAAGACAAGACAGCATATAGCTGCATGCCAAAGATTTACCCAACATCACGTCCATGAGCATCCTCTTCTTCGTCATCAAGGTCAACCTCCGATTCCCGGCCTGACTGCACCCCTCTGGAGCCAGAAGTACCAGCCAAAAGGGTTGAACCCAGATCCCTGCTCGAGTCCTTAGGGGTGGCAGAATAATCAGATGAGCCATGACATTGGCAGTCACAAAAACATAACTTAGCGATGCGTTGCGACACCGAGCAGCCATCCGTGTGCCACTTGTAGAAGCCGCTGCCGTCTGTGTACTGAGCCTGAATCGATCCACGCTCAACCGAGCCGATCGCATTCTGATTGCCGTGCGAGTGGCTAGCTGTGTCCACGCAGGCACCACGAAGGTTCGCTTCCGCGACATATCTCGGGAGCCTCTCGTGAAGGATCGAAACCGATTTGACCTGCGTCGCCTCATGTCCCAGGCACTGAGCCTGTTTCCAGCACCAGGGCTGTTGCCCTCAGCCGTCGGTGGCAAAGTTGCAACACTGCTCCGCCCAGCGGCACCTGGCCTGGCACACATTTTTCCCCCCCAGGCCCAGGCCCACCACATGACAAGAGGTGCTCGTGAAGCTTGCATCTTGCCTGTTTCATCCGACGGAGAGAAGGACTGCGGATCCCGCAGGTAGCAGACCCGATCCGTGCCTTGGTCTGCTCGTGGGAACCCGGGAAGCTCAAAAAGGGTGGACACCACAGCACCGCGTGACAGGATGCTGAAACCGTCAAGGTACGAACCTCGCTGTTTCCGGCCTGAACTTTGGGGTTGGGGAGCAGGCCGCCGGGAGTCGAAGCCTTGGTCCGTCTCTTTTCTGCCTGCCTTCGTCGTGACCTGGTGCCTCTATGGGTGTAAGAGTGCTAGGATGCCACTGCACCCCTATTTGACCGGGAGCACGTCACGAAGAAGGCTGACGTGTAGAGGCTACTCTCACTTTCACCGGTCGAGTTGTGCGACATCGGCCCCAAGAAGATTGCAGCATCCGCTCAAAAGAAAGCTGAACCAAGCTGCGCCACCAATGACTGCAAATCGCGCTGGAGGTCAGCCAGCAGTGAGCCGGAAAGCACCCCGTCCACCACAACCACCTTGCACAGCGCCGGTTCGTTTCACAGCACAGGATTGCTCCGAAACGGGTCCGGAGGTGTGGATGCTTTCGGAGCAATCCCAAACATATGTCCGACACAATTCAAACTCGCAAACACTGTCACGCTATGTCAAGGTGATTTTGCACTATTGCCAAACCGCTTCGCTCAGCTGCCAGTGAGCCCCGCGCCTCGCCACCCTCCAGATGCTTCAATGCAGTGGCAGCCATATGCGTGTCTAGAAGAGGTTGAGTCTCTTCTGCAGCCTCTCGCAACAACGAAGAGCCATACTTCACGACCTATCTCCGAATGTCTTCGAACTAAGCAAAGCTACAGCTGGCAGGTGCCATGGTGTATCAGTTCAAAGTTGTCGTCACCGCCACTCTTGCAGGGACGAAGATTCGGCGATGCGACACTTGTTTCGAAACTTCCAGATGTGCTCCTCGCGACCCCTCCTGCGATACGAGCACGACTCATACGACTCCGAACACTTCCGGAACTTCCGATCAGCTGAACTGCAGAAGCCTTTTCCGCAGATTGGCCGTCTCGCAGGAGCGGAACCCAAAGCCCATCGTAGAAGGCGTGGGCTGCTGTTCCTGCCTCAGCAGTGTCTGAGGTATCGTTCAAGGGCTGCTTTAAGCGAGTTGCGCTTGCGATCGATTGCAATCAAAGCAGCTCCGGCCAGGCCCAGGAAGGGCAAAACAGCTCTGAAAGCCGTGGGCCATTCCGCTGTTTTTGCAGCCTCTTCCTGCAACGTCGCAAGTGCTAATCCACAACCTCCTGAGCAATGCCTGACATGGAAAACCGCTGAAGCAGTCTGACTGTAGAGCCTTCGCCTGCGCAAGACCAGCCAGGCCTGATGCAAGCCTGCCGGAAAGAGCGAACGCGGCCGAGTGGCTTAGGTCTTGCACAACGGCACGTGTGCCTGTGCGTGCTTGCCAGACGCAGACATCGAGGACGCAAGGTATGCATGGCAGATAGTGTTCGTGATTCGTGATGTCAAATCTACGGCGAGTGCAAGCTATCTATTCTGGTACATGGCATGTCCAAACAAGTATTTCTACTGTGCCTCGTTGTTACTCACAGTGCAGACATTCGTGAACCAAGTAGAGCATGCCATGTGCACTATTCTCCTATACAGCGTAGCCCTATGCAAGAATCCATGGAATGCTGGATGGTAACTTCCATCAGTTCAACCAACCTCATCTGTTCTGCTCTTTGTAGACTGCGGTCTCTATCCAGGCCATGAGCGATGTCAGCAAGCCCGCTCAGCCAGATGGGCATGCAATGATTCCCCAGCACTGCGATCCTGGTCCAATGCCGCGTTGCGACATTCTGAGTGCGAGCCCTCAGAAAATTGGAACCCAGCATCTCCCACAAGAGCCCTCCACGCATGGGAACCTAAACAAGAAACCACAAATCACAATGCCGTTCTCGCGAAAAAGCAACCTCGTTTATCCACCGCAGAGTAAAGAACAGCTACAGCTCCGATGTCTGTTTGCAACCCCGAATGGCAGGCCTGCAGGTTCTGGAGTCTCTGCTGCCGAAGGAGCCTAGCCCTCAGCTCTACAAATGGTGCCCTGGACACGCCAGAGGTTAAAAGGGAATCTCTGCAACTTAGAGCTGGCAAGCTGTACATCGTAGCCGTGCAGGAAATGGAGAAGGAAGACCAGCATCTCGTCGCGGGCGAATTTGTATCCTGATAAAACAGCCACGGAACTTTGAGGTGAAGCTTGTGGGGAAAGTGGAGAAAGCTTAGACTGACGAACCAACCCAAGGTGTCGCCACTGAACTCCGGACAAGGGACCAATGCACATTCTACTTCCTCCGCCGAACGTGGCAAAATACACAGGGTCGAAGGTGCGGTCAAAGAATTTGCCGTCACGCAGATGGCGCTGGATGGAAAAGCTCCTGCTGTCCTCTGCCTTGCTATGTCTTCCAACAGGTGCAAAGAGCAAGGTCCATCCTTTAGGCACGACATAGCCATCAATCTCTGTATCCTTACTCACCTCTCGTGTGATCACCGATGCAGGGGGTGTGATGCGCCAGACTTCCTGCAGGAAGGCTCGTGTCTGAGGAATGGAGTCCAGGATTCGTCTCGTGAGCCGGCACCCACCATCCCAAGCTTCGCGCACCTCCTGCACATCAGTTTAGCCTATATGATTACATGATTCTGCGCTTTAGCTTTGGCTCTATACGCTTCAGTGAAAACACTCGTGCCTGCCGCAGGCGGGACTCCACATCAGGACATTGCTTCAGCCAATGCAAGCAGCTCTGGATGGAGGCCAGCGTGGTGTCGTGACCCGCAAACATCATCGCTACACAGAAGTCTGAAAGCTCCTCTTCGTTGTTCATCTCCTCTGCCTGCCTTGGACGAGATCGGCCATCACCAATGCCGAGGTTGCTGAAGAGTTTTCGTGCTACAATACGGCGTTTTGGGAATAAGTCTCATGACAGCGCTACGTTACAACGAACAAACAAATTGATCAACGTGGAAGGCCGCAGCATGGAGTCCAGCATCGTGTTGACCTGAAACATCCGACATGGATCTTTAAGCTGCTTGCGCTTCTTGTCAATCAGTTTCTGGAACTCCTGTACCAGCAACTTTCGCGCCTGCATGCACTTGTGGAATGGGAACCCTGGAATATCAAACGGCAAGACATAGCCCAATCCTTTGAAAGTCTCCTCATAAAGCTCCATGAAACGGTCGCTTTTGATTCGATCGTTCTCAACTCCCAGGATGACAGCTTCACCACACTCGAAAGCATATTTCTTGATTTCCATGTGCAACTCCCGGCATGTCTGTCCCTCCTCCACCCAAAGTTCCAGGTGCTTGGCTGACAGCCTTTGCAAACATGGCAAGTAAGTGTCCAGCTGTCTGTCGCCAAAAGCGCGAGAGCTGAGGGTCCGAATTTTCTTGTGGAGTGGATCATTCACCATTGGCAAGGACGTCTTGCCAACCAACTGTTGAAAGTGTGTTGGCCATGCCATATCCCTTTCCGAATAAAGGAGCTTTGCGTTGGCATCCGTGACTGCCAAAATCACCGTTGGTGCAAACAGCAAATTCGACCTGCAAGTGCCTCCATATTGTGAGAGCTTTGCCTGGCACAGGGCAACAGGAGTCTAAAAGAGTGGATGATGCAACTTCGACTAGCACGTCTGCAAACAGGATAAAAGACTGCAAATGCAAGTTCTTGTCGAAACCTTCGCCTCAATGAAGCCCAAAGGATCTCGAACGTAAGTCAACGTCTCACCCAACAATGGCAAAGACCACGGGCTTCCAGGTGGCAGGCGCCGCCGCCGACGAAGCCAGAGCACACAGGCCGATACACCGGCCGCGAAAACAAAGGCGATCAAGCCTTTCTGGGATTGATGCTCCATCTGCTCGACTCAAGCCCAACGTCTATTCACGAAGTTTCCAGAAAATGAGCAGTTTGCATCTCACTGCCAAACACGTGTAAGCAAGCCTGCAGGCCAATGAAGAAAACCAACTACGGAGACCCTGCTGTCAAAATCTCTCAAACCAACGGAGGCTCGGGCCCAACGCTTGGAGCAAATGTTTATTGTCTCCTAGCGAATACACGCTGAGAAAACTTCTATGACTGGAATCTGCTTCGGGCCTTCCGCCCCGGACTTCACAAGTAACATCTTTAACATTAATTGTCAAAAATCATAGCGACAAATTCTTCTGTCGAACGATTGAACTATGATTTTTCCGAACACCGTGGTGGCACTAGGGGAGTCTTACATTCAGGGCAAAGCAGGGGCGTGCAATCCGACGGTGCACACTTCGGACTACAACTGTATTATCTCCGCAATCCTGTTCTGCCCCCGGTCCTTTTGCGACACGTGATGCATGGAAATTTACTTTGGCACTTTCCAGGTTGATGAACCACGCACCTGCCGTAGTCCTGCATGTTTTGGTTTGCGAAAATTACATTTTCCATGTTGATATGTCGAGAGACCACCATGTGCACAGCGAAAAAACCAGGCAACACGTTTCCACAGTGGAGTGGAACTTGGTGGGTTTCCGATGCGGTTCCTTGTCCAGTTTTGTTGGATCTTTCAAAATCCTCAAATCCCGTGCAGATGTTGGGCTGAGCCAATGCGGATCCACAAACACACTGGACAAAAAACTTGCAAAGAATGGTTTTCAGTGGCACCTTCCGTCCTGCTTCCAGCCTGACGAGTCTTATCCACACAGTTCCTGTCGTCGTAAGCCGCAGTGGCTGTCGCGGTTCGGGTGGTAGTCATTCGCCGTTATCGTCTCGTCATGTTCCGCGTTCGAGCCGCTCGAACTGTCTAATGTTTCTGGTTCTGCCTTTTTGGATAAAACGCTTTCACAACGTAGGTCCAATTTGTCGGATTCCAGTGTTACTTTGACATTCAAACTCTAAATAAAACAAAGTCTCATTTTCTCTCAATGCACAAAACCCAGCCCAAATCCATTAGCTTCCAAAGCCGAATACTTTTTGGAGTTTTCAATTGCTGCAGTCCCTGGAAGTGTTTGTTAGCATAAGAGGAGCATGGAAAAACATCAATACAATAATTTCATGTGGTTTCTTCGCATTTCGACAAAAAAAGCTTCCTGAACAAATCGAGCGCTGCACACGAAAAGACTGAAAGGCGTCGTTCGACGTGGGACACATCAACGACCAAATGGAAGCACACACCAAAAGAATTTGCGTTATTTCCTGCGCACCGCCAAAACAAGATTTAAAAGAGGAATATGTGGAGAATCCAAATATACTCTATATAATATATGAAAATTCCACTCTTTCCTCAGAAAGCAGAGACACTCCGATCTTTTCACACTGGGGCGAGATGCTGGCTGTCTGAGTCAAGGCTCAGGGATAGGCACCCCCAAACACCCCTTCGGCATTCGAGCCCAGGGATGGGAGGGCGGGACAAAAATTTTCTTGCAGACCTTGAGGATGCATGCACGGACAAGCAACTCACGCGCAAAACACTCAAGCAAGAAAATTCTTCGTTAAAAAGAAAGTAAAACATGTTTTGGCTAATTTCATGCAATCATGAAATTTGCGTTTGGAAATAAAGGTTTCATCCTTGTTAGAGGAGTTCTTCCTTATTTCCTGCGCAGAATCCAAATATACTCTATATAATATATGAAAATTCCACTCTTTCCTCAGAAAGCAGAGACACTCCGATCTTTTCACACTGGGGCGAGATGCTGGCTGTCTGAGACACCCCATTGTAAAACACTGCCGCATCACCTCTTCCCAGTTGACAAAGATCCTTGAGCATCCTCTGTTCAAGAGATCTGCGAACTCTCCTCTGCTCGGCAAGTCTTTTTTTTCGACTTTAAACCGCAGTGGTCTGGTCTGACCTACTCGCGAGCTAGTTACACGGTCTATTACCGCGGCCACTCAAGGTAGCTACTAAGTACAGCGACTATGCAAAAACTTGGGTCTTTGCCCGCAGGAGCCGAAGCTCTCAAGACTACGAGCTA